ACAGGCCGGTAGTTGGAAACGACTGAGGGGTCAAGGTTTGGTTTTTTTAGGAGAGGCTGGACGGCAGCATGTTTAAAGGCTTTTGGCACCACGCCAGTGGATAAACTACTGTTTACTATGTCAAGAATGGATGGACCTAAAGTTGGAAACACCTCCTTTAGTAGTCGAGGGGGGACCAGATCAAAGAGGGAGCCAGAAGGTTTCAAGCTGCACATGACCTGCTCTAGAGAAGAAAGAGTGATGGGTTCAAATAGTCAAAAGGAGCTACAGATTGAGGTAGGATGGATGGGTCATGAGTTGGAGGGGAAATGAGAGCCCGGGTGGTCGCAATTTTTTCCAAAAAGAAATGTAAGAAGTTGTTGCACAGCTCAGTCGAGGCTTCCAGAGGTGATGGTGCAGTGAGGTGGAGAACAGAGTTTAGGGTGGAGAAGAGGACACGTGGATTGTGAGAGTTTGAGGTAATTATATCAGAGAAGTATTTGGATTTAGCAGCTTTTACTGCTTTCTGATAACAGCACCAACTGTCTTTAAGTATTTGAAAAGAGACCTGCAGCCTGTCTTTCCTCCACTTGCGCTCCGCCCTCCTGCACTGCTGCCTAACGGCCATGGTGACGTCACTCAGCCAAGGTTCTGCTCTCAGTTTTGATTTTCTAATTTTAACAGGTGCAACATGATCCAGAGTCTTTAAGCAGACAGAGTTGAACTGGGATGTCAACTCCTCAGTGGTGGTGAGAAACACCGGGGCCTGAATTATCATTTCAGAGTTATAAACATCTGTGAAACGTGCGGCAGTGAAGTGGTTAATGGTCCAGGTCCTACATGCAGGAATGCATGACTTAGGAGTTAAATGGGGGAGGGTGAACTCAAACCGGACTGGCATGTGGTCTGAAAAAACATTATCATCAATAACAAGATTATTAACAGTCATATCATGAGTTAAAACAAGGCCCAGTGTATGTCCACACTCTTGGGTGGGACCATTTACATGCTGAGTTAAATTAAATGAGTCCAATAGATCTAAAAAGTCCTTAACCAAGGGCTTCTCAGGACAGCACACGTGCAAATTAAAGTCCCCAATAATGAAAACATGATCATATTTTGGTGTGATTTCAGCCAAGAAGTCTGAAAACTCATTTATGAAATCCTTTGACCGAGGTGGGCGGTAGACAAGTGCAAATAAAGTCTGAGGTGAATGTCCGAGTTCAAAGACGCTCAGCTCAAAGCTGGCGTGGGAAACTGGGATGGGCAATTGTTTACAGTCAAAAGTTGATTTGAATATTGTTAATAATCCACCACCGTGCCAGCCTGATGGCCGCGGGGCATTAAAATACAAACAGTTCGGTGGCAGTAATTCCGTCAAGGCGCTGGACTCACCCTGAGACACTCAAGTCTCTGTGATGCACAGAAAGTCCAAATCGTGCTCTTGAAAGTAATCCCTGAGGATAAAAGTTTTGTTGGTAACAGATCTTGCGTTGACCAAACACATCCGGATATTGTCCGAAGTGGAGCTAGCAGCGGTGGAGCTAGCAGCGGTGGAGTTAGCGCGCGCTAATGGCCACAGGTTTTCAATAACAGCCCCTCCAGGTCGGTCCGAGCTGCGCACCGGCTGACAACTCCCGTTGGTTACCTGGTCCGGGCACACAGGAAGCTGGCGATGGAGACCATGACCGCCAGCTGGAGAGGAAGATGCAGCGCACAGAGCTTTAAGCTTCACCAGCTGACCAGCACGTTTTCCCCGGCATCTGAAGCGATATCTCCGGGCAGGGAGGTGAGGAGCGCAGCGAAGTAAGCTGGCACATCCGCCAGCAGGGGGGGAGGAGGGGGGGGGG